GTTATGGTAGAATTTCATATGAATTTTAGACTTATCATAGATATAATTGTAGGGGATTAAACTCATATGAATAGTATTGCTAAAAAGGAGAAATAAAAAGGATTATGGTAAAATTGGGTGTATGGAATAAAACCCCCCTTGTGAATAGTACCCATAGAGAAAAAATATCCTATTTTTCTTAATGAGCATTAAAAAGTGCTTTGGTCGACAAAGATTTTTTGTGCCATTAATTTCTAATTAATTAACTAACTTATGACAATTTAACTCTTAAAAGAACAAGTTGTAAAACACTATTTCATAGAGTCACATCATAAGGAGTGCTCTTTTTGTAATTAAGTCCAATTCAAATCAAACAAAATTATGAAGAACAACTGAACAAGCGAACAATAATTTCATTTCGTGATACTATCATTAGTGTTCAACTTGAAAGTTCCAAGTTCGATTCTCTTTAGTAGCATCTAACTTCAAATATAAAAATATATCATCCGTACAATTTTTATGTCATCCTTATAAAAAAATCATCAAAAACAACAAATCTATGAGCAAGCCAGCATCTTAACTTCCTTAATTGCAAGACAAAAGGTTGGAATTTGATGTACCATTACTTATTTTCCACAATTCCATATATATTCCCCCAATGTAATCCTCTTCTTACTTGAATCCTTTTCTTCATTCTTAAATGAAAAGATAGATCCTTTGCGTCTCTTCCTGCAAACCCCTCTCTTTCTATGTAAGAATCTACAAAGCTTCCTTGATGAAAAAGCAATATAGCTTTTTTTTTTTTGTTAATTTCTCAAAAATAAAATCTTGTCAAACAAGAAAGGAACTGTCCTCACCTTCTATAAAATATACAACGACTCCATTAAAAAATCTATATGGACTTGCCCACACCATAGCATTTGAGAAAGTAGGGATTCCCTTTGAGGTCCAAGTAAGTATTTCAGCTTCTTTTATATGGCAATTTTTATGTCACATATATCGAGTATGTTATTGAGTGATGTGCATAAGTTTTGCATATCATGATGCTTTCATAACCATCTGTATATATAGGTCGGAGCTAGGTGAGGTTTGGGAGAATTTTAAAACATATGTATAATTTTGTACGAGATTTGAGGAATTATGTATACAAGAGGTATTATTCATAAATGCCTCCGTGTGCAAAAATAGAACATAAGTGTCCCGCAAGTCTAGAGCTAAGCACATTCAATATTCCTCCTCCGTTGACTAGAGTTCCTGCCTTGGAGGAGCAAATTAATTGAATTTCATTTTCTGGGTTAAGTTTGGGGAGAGGAATACCTCCTACTTCCACCAACTTGCTAAGATTAGGCGCAGGTCTAACAAGATTAAGTGCTTGAAAGATGAGAATGGCGAGTGGGTAAACGACAAGCATCTGTTGGCAGCTATGGTTTTCGAGTTTTATTCAAAGCTTTATCTGCAGGATGGAACTCCGTATAGTGACCTGATGCCGAGAAGAGCTTTCCCTCATCTCAGTCATGTGGACCGTAGCCAGCTCCTGCGTCCTTTCACCATCCAGGACGTCCACAAGGCAGTTTTTGACATGAAGCCTTTTCAGGCTCCGGGGCCAGATGAATTTCAAGCTATTTTCTATCAACAAGCCTGGAAAGTTGTGGGGAAGTCTCTTACGGACATGGCCATCTCTTTCTTTCAGGAAGGTGAGCTACCCGAAGAGGTTTTTGCCTCCACGGTGGTACTTATCCCGAAAGTTGAGAATCCAGAGACTGTAGGTCAACTCCGACCGATTTCTCTCAATAATGTCAGCCTGAAGGCCATTACTAAGGTTATGACGAGCCGTCTGAAGTCGGTTATGAGTTTGTTGGTCTCCCCGCGTCAGAGTAGTTTTATTCCTGGGCGCCAGACAACGGACAACATCATTATAGTCCAGGAGTTTCTCCATTCTATGCGGAAGAGACGTGGTAAGAAAGGGGGTCTAGTGATGAAGATTGATCTAGAAAAGGCGTATGACAGGCTTAGATGGGATTTTCTTCGGGATACTCTCAGCGAGGTGGGCCTGCCGGATTCGTGGATCAGGTGTATCATGTACTGCGTCGAGAAGAACTCTATGCGTGTCCTTTGGAACGGGGAGCTCTCGCAGCCTATTACTCCGTCCAGGGGAGTTCGTCAGGGAGATCCTCTCTCACCCTATCTTTTTGTCTTGTGTATGGAACGCTTATCCCATAGGATTGATCGGGCTGTCCAGGAGAAGTTGTGGAAACCTGTCAGACTCTCTCCGGGGGGCCCGGCTCTAACCCACCTTTTTTTTGCAGATGACCTCATTCTTTTTTCGGAGGCGGAGGGCTCCCAAGTTCGAATCATTAGACAATGCTTGGACGAGTTTTGTGCTAGCTCCGGTCAGCGAGTGAACTTCAGCAAGTCTCTTCTCTATGTCTCACCCAATATCGGTCAAGCTCGTGCTCAACGGCTTAGCGACAGGGCTGCAATACCTCTGACTCTTCATCTCGGCCGCTACTTGGGAATGCAAGCCATCCACGGGAGAGTCACCAAGAGTAGATACGAACCCCTGGTTCTGCAAATCCAGAAAAAGCTGGCCCCGTGGAAGGCTAGGCGTTTATCCCTTGCGGCGAGGCTTACCGTGGCCCGCTCTGTCTCTCTTTCCATTCCCACCTACCCTATGCAGACTGAGCTGATTCCTTTGAATGTTTGTAAGTCAATTGATAAGATTAACATGGATTTCATCTGGGGGGAGGGTGAGCAGCAGCAAGGAAGGATGCATTTGGTGGCTTGGGAGAAACTTACTGAGCCAAGGAGCCAAGGCGGAGCCGGGCTGCGACCCCTGAGGCAAGCTAACTTGGCCCTTTTGGCCAAAGGGGGTTGGAGATTACTGCAGGAAAAGGACTCTCTCTGGACGCAGCTTATTCGGGCTAAGTACGGTAGACAGCGAGAAGGGCTTGACCTTCTACGCCCAAGTCAGGGAAGTTCCTTTGCCTGGAGAAGCTTCACTAAAGCTTCTAGCATTCTGCAACAAGGCTGTGCTTGGAATATCCACAACGGGAAGGACACTAAATTTTGGAATGATGTTTGGTTGATGCAGGTCCCGCTGGTGGAGGTGGCTCTGCAACCGGTGCCAGAAGGAATGTTGTTGGAGTCTGTAGCTGACTACATCGCGGAAGATGGAAGCTGGGAGGTGGAGCGCCTGACCCCCTGGCTCCCGACGGAGATCCTGCAGAAGATGACAGCGGTGGCGGTCGATCCCCTTTCCACCGAGAAGGACAGGTTGTTCTGGAGCGGTACATCCAATGGTCGTTTTTCCACGAAGTCAGCCTACCTTCTGGCGAATCCTCCTCGAGATGATCCGCGACAAAGACTTTGGAAGCAGATTTGGAGACTCCCAGTTTCAGAGCGGATTCGGTGCTTTGCTTGGCTGGTCTCCTTGGGCAAGATTGCGACTAATCAACTGCGGTGCTCAAGAAAGTGTGCTGCCTCTCCTAATTGCTATCGATGTGATGGTGTGATCGAGTCTATTGGGCATGTTCTTCGAGATTGCCCACCGGCAGCTTATTTCTGGAGCAGGCACGTCCCATATGCTGAGCAGCAGGTGTTCTTTTCATTGCCTACAGGGACATGGTTACATAGGAATCTTCTCAAAGAAGAGGCCACTGCTTCAGGGGTTAACTGGAATGCCTTTTTCAGCACGGCTATCTGGCTTTTGTGGAAAAATCGAGGCATGGGCTGTTTTAAAGGTATTTCTGCCACTTTCTCGGCTCCATCCCTGAGCCACGCTATTGATCACAAAGTTGGCTTGTGGAACAAGGCGTGGAACGCTCCCTCCCTCTCCCTAGGCAGGCCTAAGCACGTCCTTGATAGAAGGGTAGAGAGCATTCAATGGAGAGCCCCTACTAGCGGTTGCTTTAAACTCAATGTGGATGGGTCCTCGGCAGGGAATTCGGGTATTGCAGGTGCCGGTGGACTGATACGTGATGATCAGGGAGGATGGGTCACTGGTTTTGTGGCCAAGATTGGGGAAGCTCCGGCGATCTCGGCAGAGCTATGGGCCATCTTCCATGGGCTGGGTATTGCTTGGCGGCACAGATGTGCTAGTTTGATTGTGGAGACAGACTCCCAGGTGGCTATACAGCTGATTAAGGATCGACAGGACCCTATCCATCCTTATGCTTCTTTGCTGACATCGATTCGTCGTCGCTTATCTCAGGATTGGTTGGTCAATGTGGTTCATACATACAGGGAAGGGAATAGAGCCGCGGACTGGCTCTCGAAGCACAGTCTCGTCTATCCCTACGGTATGCAAGAACTTGTTGAACCACCCAGTGAGCTGAGTCGAGTTCTTCAGGAGGATATGCAGGGGGTCTCTTTCGAGCGACAGATTGTAGTGCATCACGATAGATAGTTCGTTCTCTTTCTCTCTCCTCTAGCCTTATATTCTCTTTCTTGGCTTCGGCCTCCAAGCAATGCAAAAAAAAAAAAAAAAAAAAAAAATTTTAGCCATTGAAATGCTCTCTACTGATATTGGCGGATCTGCAGCTCCAGCTCCGGCCCATCTCCCGTCTGATCGTCCGCCGGACACTTCTAGCCCGCCGGCGGCTAATGACTCTACCTTTTTGGCTTTTAACATGAATCAGGCTAGTAGTTCGGCGAATATGGCTATTGATTCTTCTCTTTTGAACATGCAGGAACAGGAGATCCACACGACGGCGACGGTGCTGCTATCGGGACAAACATCAGGACTAGCCCCCGGGATGGCTCTGTCGTATGCTAAAGCAGCCATGGGGGTGTCGCAGCCGACGGCAACCCCGAGTCAGATGATTCAGTGGACTCCGGTGGGTGAGCACGATCTTGTGACAGGTGATCGAAACGGGGAACCGGCCCTAACGGTTTCAGCTGAATTCAAAGCAAAGATTTGTGCTCCGTGGCAAAGGACGCTCGTGATTCGCCTCCTTGGGTTGCGGATTGGATTTATCACTTTGTGCAATCGCCTGAAGAGTCTATGGCGGCTGGTTGGAGCTATGGAGGTTAAGGACCTGGATCATGATTGTTTCTTAGTCAAATTGGATAACGAACAGGACTACTTCCGGGCTCTGACCGATGGTCCGTGGGTGATTTACGATCATTATTTGGTCGTTCAGCAATGGACGCCGAAGTTTAAAGCTTCGGACCCGCTTCCGAAGACCATGATCGTTTGGGTTCAGCTCCCGGCTATCAAAATCCACTTCTACCATAAGGAGGTTCTCACTACTCTGGGCAATCTAATCGGTCGGACTATCAAGCTGGATTATCATACTCTCACGCAGCAACGAGCTAAGTTTGCTCGCATAGCGGTGGAGGTGGACATTTCGAGGCCTCTAGTTCCGAGAATCTGGCTAGATGATGAGTGGCAGAAGGTCGAGTACGAAAATCTGCCGGAGGTGTGCTTCAAGTGCGGGAAGATTGGACATCGCTCCGGTTCCTGTCCGAGGAATACTATCGGTGCCTCATCGGTTTTGGTGGAGTCCGCCGGCGATCTGTCGCTGACCAGTCCCTCGTCCCCGCCGGAGGAACCCAACCAGGGGTTCGGGCCGTGGATGCTAGTGACGAGGAAAGCTCGGCGGATTTCAAGGGACATTCACCGGAAAGGTAAGTCGGAGCAGGAGACAGGGACGCAGATTGCGACATCAAGTGGGAAAAATGGAATTCGAGAGGTGATAATTAAGGAAGGGAATCATTCCTTACCTTCCACGAACTCCCCCAGCGGCGCTACTCTGCAACGGAATTCAAACCAAGAAAGGAAATTGTTTAACGGGAAAAAGAGCGGGGAGGAGACGAAGAAAGGAAAAGGTAAATCGTTTAAGGAGGCTGGAGGGATAGACAAAGGTCTTCTTGGGCCGGGGCCCAGTTTGGTTGGTCTTGAGGCAGCTGGGCCGAAGCCCGTGGTTATTGATGGGAGTCAGCCCATTAGTCAGAAGCAAATCAAGCCTCAACAACAGGTTGCGTCGAGGGGGTCTGAGCTCGACAAAGGGCTTCTGGACCAACAAGAGACGACGGGCTCCCCTCCTCAGCCACCCGTGTTTCACACTATCGTGGGCCCAAATGGTACTGTGATGAATATTGTGGAGAGTCCACAGATGGAGAACGGCGAACAAATCTCTGGTTCCAGCCCCTCTCTATCGACAAGAACGAAACAGAGTAAGAACAAGAAAGTGCAAGGGAAGAAGAGATCGCCCAGCAAGCTTAATCCGGCAAAACCCCTCCAAATTTGGTCACCGGTTAAAGAAAGAAAACCAAAATCTAAAGCTCGAATGGCGTCTTTGACTCTACAAGAAATTCACGCCTGGACTGAGGCAGCAAAACAGCCGAGGAAAGAGGACAAAGCGCCGGAGATAGGCAAGTCGGCCGGCCGCCCAACTCCAGCGAGCGGCCCGGACGAAGAGACGATCGCCAAGGCGTGATGGGGGTTCCCGAGGTCTGAGCCGCCAGCTTCTTCTTCTCTCTGTCTGGATTCCTTTACTTTTCCTTATGTCAATGAATCACAATTTGAAAGTGTTCGCGTGGAATGTTGGGGGAGCGGGAAGCCGGGCATTCTGCCGGGCTTTGAAGCTTGCTATTCAGACTCATCGGCCGGACTTCGTGGTGCTGCTGGAGCCGCAATTGAGTGGCGATTCGGCCAACAGGGTGTGTGATAATTTGGGGTTTCCCAATTCTTTTCGCGTGGAAGCCGAGGGCCGGTCAGGTGGGGTGTGGGTATTTTGGGATGGAAGTGTTTTCTCGGTGCAGCCATTCTCTGCTTGTTCGCAGCACCTGTCCTTGCAAGTGAACAGGGGCAACGACCCTCCGTGGATGCTGACGGCGGTGTACGCCTCACCGCGGCAGAGGGACCAACGACTCCTGTGGGCAAGGCTGATCTCGTACAGCAGGCTCATTGACATGCCTTGGTTGCTAACAGGGGATTTTAACGCCATTAGCAAACCTGAAGAGAAGTCGGGGCCTCCTGCACGGAACACTTTGAAGAGATGTCAGTTGTTCACCGAAAGACTTCAGTTGGCAGAGCTTGTTGATATGGGGTTCTCCGGACCTAAATTTACCTGGTCAAGAGGTGATCAAAACCACACTTACAAAGCTAGCCGCTTGGACAGGAGCCTTTGTAACCTCCGATGGAACATTTCATTCCCCAATTCAACAGTGCTTCACTTGCCGCGCTACCAATCAGATCATAACCCGATTATGACCACTGTGGAGTTGCAGGCGAGACAGCAGCATACTCCGAGAAGCTTCAGATTCGAGGCGGCCTGGTTGACTAGTGACCGCCTGCCGCAAGCAGTAGCAGATAGCTGGGATGCGAATGCCCCTCTCCATAATGCTCTCAAAGTGCTGGCGGATAAGCTGTTGGAATGGAATGATGAAGTTTTTGGAGATGTCAAGCGCAAGAAGCGTCGTTTGCTGGCCAGAATTAAAGGAGTCGAAGCAGGTTTAGCAGGAGGGTTCTCTCCGGGTCTCGCTATGCTCCACTCCAAACTCTCCAGAGAGCTAGACCTGGTTCTCGAGCAGGAAGAGCTTATCTGGTACCAACGGGCTAGGGACAAGTGGGTGAAGTATGGGGAAAGGAACACGGCATATTTTCACCAGCAGGTCAACATCAGGAGACGCTTTAACAAGATTGAAGCTTTGCTCGACGACAATGGCCTTTGGGTGACCGATCCTCACTCCCTTGCTCTGCTTGTTTTCGATTTCTTTACTAACATTTATATGCAGGATAGCTCCCCCTACGAAGATAGGTTGCCGAAAGATTCCTTTCCTCGAATGTCGCAAGCGGAAGCAGCAGCCCTGTTTAGACCTTTCAGTATTCAGGATATTCACCAGGCAATCTTTGACATGAAGCCGTTCCAAGCTCTAGGTCCGGACGGGTTCCAAGCAGCGTTCTACCAGCAGTTTTGGCAGGTAGTGGGGAAGGCCCTCTCCGAGATGGCTGTCTCCTTCTTCACTACAGGCATCCTTCCAGAAGCTGTGACGGAGTCGACGCTTGTCCTCATACCTAAAGTGGATTCGCCTGAGAGAGTGACTCAGCTTCGGCCTATTTCACTTAATAATGTGTGCCTGAAGAGCATTACTAAGGCCATTACTTCGAGGCTGAAACCGCTCATGAGGAAGTTGGTGTCCCCGAGACAGAGCAGTTTCATCCCAGGGAGACAAACGACTGACAACATTATAGTTGTTCAAGAGGTTTTACACAGCTTGAGGAAGAGGCGAGGGAAGAAAGGCGGCATGGTGTTCAAAATTGATTTGGAAAAAGCATATGATATGCTGAGGTGGGATTTCGTGCGGGATACTTTGAAAGAGGTCGGGCTGCCGAGCAGTTGGATCGCTTGTATCATGTACTGCGTAGAGCACAACACCATGAGGATTCGTTGGAATGGAGAATTGTCTCAGCCGATCACCCCGTCTCGCGGAGTTCGTCAGGGAGACCCCCTTTCCCCTTACCTCTTTGTGCTTTGTATGGAAAGATTATCTCACAGGATTGATGAGGCGGTTAGCAGTGGGCAATGGAAACCGATACGGTTAACTAATGCCGGGCCGCCACTGACCCATCTCTTTTTTGCAGATGATCTGTTATTGTTTGCAGAGGCTGAAAGGAGGCAAATCCGAGTCATCAAGCAGTGCCTTGCGGATTTCTGCTACAGCTCGGGGCAAAGGATCAATTTCAGCAAGTCTATTCTTTATGTTTCCCCGAACGTTGCTAGACATAAAGCCGAGGTCTTGAGCTCCTGTGCGGGGATTTCTTTGAAAGCTGCTCTGGGGAGATATCTCGGCATACAGGCAATCCAGGAAAGGGTCACCAGAGGGAGATACCAGTCTCTTATCCTGCGCATTCAGAAGAAGATGGCACCCTGGAAAGCGAAGCGTTTATCTTTCGCGGCTAGACTTACTGTCGCTAAATCGGTAACCGCTTCTTTGCCTGTATATACGAAGCACACTGAGTTGATCCCTAGTGGTGTTTGCAGGAACATTGACAAGATCACTAGGGACTTCGTCTGGGGAGCTGAGGAGAATCGTTCCAAATTGCACCTAGTTGCTTGGGAGAGGTTGACTCTGGCGAAAGACCAGGGTGGGGTGGGCCTGCGCCCAACTCGTCAGGCTAACTTGGCTATGTTGGCCAAGAGTGGTTGGCGCCTTCTTCAGGAGAAAGATAATCTTTGGCGGCAACTTCTTCTCTCGAAGTATGGAGGTCAAAGAACAGGGCTCGATGTTCTGCGGAAGAAACAGGGAAGTTCCTTCACCTGGAGCAGTTTCTCCAAGGCTGCTGATCTGCTTAAGCAAGGCTGTGCGTGGAATATTAAAAATGGAAGAAAGACTAAATTCTGGTGTGATCCGTGGATTTTGCAGGTCCCCTTGAAGGAAGTCATCACGGGAGACTTGACAGGAGAGGCCGAGGAGGCGGTGGTAGCGGATTTTGTTCGTGATGATGGGAGTTGGCGCACGGAGCTGTTCTCTAATCTGCTTCCCCCGGACATTTGCGCCAAGATCACTAGCACAGCAGTGGATAAAATCTCTCAAGAGGAGGACGTGTTGTTCTGGTCTCCGTCTGCAGATGGCCGCTTCTCCACCAAATCAGCATATGGGCTCCTTATGCCGCAGGATCAGCAACCTCGGGACGGAATTTGGAAGACGATTTGGCGCCTACAAGTCCCAGAGCGGATCAGAGGGTTTGTGTGGTTGGCTTTTCAGGGAAGGATCGCGACAAATGTTCTTCGATTTCAGAGGAAGGTGGCGGAGACGCCTTGCTGCCTGCGATGTGAAGGTTGTCCGGAATCAGCTCTCCACATCATGCGTGACTGTCCCCCTGCCTTGTTTTTCTGGTCCAGGCAGGTTCCTCAGGGTAAGCAGCAAGCATTTTTCAGTGCCAATCAGGATGAGTGGTTTCGCAGTAACCTTTCGAGTACGGAGACCACCACTTTGGGGATCAACTGGCCAGGTTTCTTTAGTATCTCCATTTGGCTACTTTGGAAGAACCGCACTACTGCTGCTTTCAAAGGTATAGGGGCGGCTCTTACTGCTCCTTCTCTTATGCAGTCCATTATCACGAAGAGTAGAATCTGGAACGATTCGTGGCAGGCGCCGGAGCTATTCCTCAGTCATAAGAAGCAGAAGGCGGACCGGGTTGTGGCTGCTGTGGGGTGGACTCCGCCAGCAGAAGGTTGGGTAATGGTCAACACGGACGGGGCTTCGAATGGGAACCCGGGTCCGGCTGGGGCGGGCGGAGTAGTCCGGGATACTTTGGGAAACTGGTTGGGAGGTTTTGTCGCCAACATTGGAAGTGCTACTGCCGCATTAGCGGAGCTCTGGGCCATCTTCTACGGGTTAGAGCTGGTTTGGAAACTTGGTTTTCGGGTGGTGAAGATAGCCACCGACTCGCAGCTTGCTATTCAGTTGATTCAGGAGCGGCATGATCCTATTCATCCCTATGCCACTTTACTGAATCTTATTCGGCGAAAGATGGGGCAAGATTGGTTGGTTAGCCTGTCTCATACATACCGAGAAGGGAATAGAGTCGCGGACTGGCTCTCGAAGCACAGTCTCGTCTATCCCTACGGTTTGCATGAGTTGGCTGATCCTCCTATGAGCTTGGTTGCGATTTTGCAGGATGATGCGAGAGGCACTACTTTTGACCGCAGCATTGTAGTCAATCACCCCCCTACTCTTTAATCTCCCTCTGTAATCTGTTCTTTTCTTTGGCCTTGGCCTCCTCTTGATGCAAAAAAAAAAAAAAATTGAATTTCATTTTCTTAGTTTTTACTTTTTTTCTAAAATTCCCTCATTAATCACCATTCACGAGTTACTAAGGGAAATACATTACCTTAATGTTTTCAGTTTTTTTTACATATATAAAAGAGTTAATGTAATTTTTATATTTCCTTATAAGTTCACTCATTTTAAACTATAGCAATTTAGTTCTTCAATTCTGAATTCGAATTTATTGTCTTGGCTGTATTAATTGTCTTCAAACATTAGTATATACGTACATTTATTTTTCAGTTGTAAGGAAATTGAAGGACATGCTACACATTGGAATGCATGATTTTTTTCATATAATCTAATTACTTGTTTGGAACATAATATCATAGAATTTTATTTTTCATTCAGATTATTTAATAACTTATTCTTCTAATTCACCAATTCCTGATAGTAAACAAAAAAAAAATGTCCCCCAAATCTCAATTCCTGACTCCGCTCCTTATATATATATATCATCTTGAGATTTCTGATTTTGATGTTTTTTCCTTTGAATAATTCTTAGTTTGTATAATATATATTTAACCACTTTGGCTCATGACTTCTCTCCTTGGTTCTTTCTTTCATCAACACATGGCTCAACCACAATGTACTAACAAAAGTATTTCTTACATCATAAGGAAGAAATGGGTCGCATAAGAGTAGCTATGACAAAGATTACCCTCACTTTCAAACTCTGTTTTGGAAAAACGAGTTCCGATAGCAACGCGTCTCAACAACTCGATGCTCCTGTCAGCCCCGATAATAACACATCACAACGAGTAGATGCTCCTATAAGTTTTGGAAGGAGAAGTTCTGATCATAATGCCTCTCAACAGCTAGATGCTCCAATTAGCTCCGCTTCGGCTTCTCATACTGATGAGTCACTACATCCGGACACACCGACGTTGCCCTTTCCAAACGGAGAGTACGAGGTGTTTCTGAACTTCAGAGGTCCAGACACCCGTCGCAACATCACAGACCTCATCCATCGTTTCCTCATCCATTTGAAGATTCGCACGTTCAGGGATGATGATGAACTTCGTGTGGGTGAAGGAATATGGCCCGAACTTGTCAGAGCCATCGGTCAGTCCAAAATTTATGTTGTGATATTCTCAAAGAGTTATGCAGATAGCAAATGGTGTCTCAAAGAGCTCGCGGAAATCGTTGAACAACGAAAGCAAGGCAAAGGACACATAGTGATCCCCATTTTTCATATGGTGGATCCTTCCGATGTACGACATCAAACGGGTTCTTATGAGGATTCATTTCGACGACATCGAATGGAGTTTGATGAAAGGATTGTACAAAATTGGAAAAACGCTATGAAGGAGGTTGGTAATCTAAAAGGATATCCCATCAGCGAAGAAGGGTATGTGACGCAACCCATTCGCCCTTTCTATTTTTCTTATCGTATTATGCAAAAAAATTACCACTAATGCACATTTTACTATACATTTCTTTACGGGTTAATTGCATCATTAGTCATTGATTTTTTTATAATTCTTTTTACCGTCTGTTATTGCAATTTTTTCAAACACAAAGCCACCAACTTTAATATGTCACTCTATTATGTATTTTTATCAAATATGTCTTTCTCCTACTTTTTACATCAAACTTATCTTTATATTATACAAAAATTATCAAACATACACTTCTGTTAAGTTCTCCCTCCAAAAACCTTCAACTACGTTTGAACCGTGGTTCGAGAGGACCTTACCTCGACAAGAGGAAATGTTCATTTTTACCTCTTCATTTATTTCTCTAATTCTCATTAAATAAAATTATCAACAGTATTAGGATACACAATAGAAACAGAAAAAATTAAAGTAAAATTATTAGAGGTATTGGGCTATACAATAGAAATAAAAAAATATTAAGATAACATTATTTAAAGTATTTTAAATATCTAATTCGCCCAAATCACGATTCGGCCATAGTGAATGGTGTTTGGATGATTAGCCACCCTCGCTACTATGATGCAGATAAATTTCACACACTCAGAACTATAAATTGCGAATACGAAATTGCTATAAAAATTACTGAACAATTTGACCTATTTTTAACTGTGAGTCAATCTGCCGTTTGATCTAGTCACCCATTCCCAATATCTTGACCCCTCTGTTTAGATCTTATTCTTTTCGAAAATTAATTATTGCTGTTCCCATCCAGAGTAAACCAAATCAACAAATTGGATCATGAGTGAATTTGACGAAAAAGTAAAGTGAAGGTTGTGAAAAAGAATGTAATGCAAATGCAAGGGGATAAAAGAACAAGGATATAAAACTTACAAAGGGGAATTTCTACGATGGGCGCCACGTTTTGACTTATATTGTTATTGATATACAAAGTTTTGATTTAAGGTTTACTAAGTTGGTTTATTTTAATCTGCATCAACTTTAGTGATATTTTGCTGATATTTTGCTAAGGTCACATATATTTGCAAAATTTTCATTATTCTTTTTTTTTGTCATTTTGTGGACAAATATTTGGCCCATTTTTTGTATTACATATAAGAACCTTTGAATAATCACTTATTAATTTTTCTATCCCGGAGTTGACGTATTTGTTCGTATTTGAGTTTTTCGACTGTTCAACTAAAATTTGATTGATCATGTATATTCGGATTACGTGTATATCGGTGATGCTTATCCATCTTTTTATATATCAATTTGAGTTTTTTTACTATTCAACTAAAAACTGACCAAGCATGCATATTCAGATCACATGCATATCGGTGATTTGTTTTCCATTTTAGAGTTCTTATAGATTATTAATAATCTTTGTGAGTTTTCCGTATATACAACTAAAGATAGGTTGATCATGGTATTTCAATAACGTGTATTTTGACGATCCACTTTTCATTTTCAAATTATTAACGATTGACAATCTTTGCGAGCTTTCTAATATTCTTTTTTTTTTATGTGCATAGAGTCATAATTTTGAATTTGCGTCCTAATTGGCCATCGAGTCCAATTACTCTCATGGTTCAACACAAACTTTCTTCAACTGATCTTAGGTTATACTATTTCATTTATCGATTCACACAATTGAGATTGTATCTTGTGAGTTTTATTTTTTCTAATTCATAGTACTTTGTATGTACAAAATGCAAATTTTAATAAAATAAGAAGTGAACATCCTGTGCGGAGCACGGAATTTCAACCTAGTATCATCTAAAACCTTACTTTTTCAAGGCAGGATGGAGCTACGGCAGATCTTGTTTCCAACCTTGTATGGTCATACTTAAGCAAGAACAATTATGCATTGGAGACTGATGAGTTGATTGGAATCGAGAATCATGTCGAAGAGGTAGTTGATAAACTAAGTCTAGAATCTGGAAGTGTGTCTACAGTTGGCATTCATGGTATGGGTGGCATCGGCAAAACAACTCTTGCAATGGCCGTCTATAATAAGATATCTGCTCACTTCGATCGTTGTAGTTTCTTGGAGAACATACGACAAAAGCAACAAGAGACGGATGGTATTCTTGCTTTACAGAAGAAGTTAATCTCTAACATTTTGAGATTGGACTCGGTTAGCTCGATGGTTGATGCTCGAGAAGGAAGGAGAATTATAAAAGAGAGAGTTTCTCAGTTTAGAGTTCTCATCGTTCTTGATGATGTGGACGAGAAGTTTAAATTTGAGGAGATCTTGGGGAATTTCGAGAACTTCTTTCCTAACAGTCGATTCATTGTCACTTCTAGGAACGTAAAAATCTTGAAAAGTTTAGGCGGAGATCGTCGATGCAAGTTATATGAAGCTCAAGGAATGACCCCGGATCGTTCGCTTCAACTCTTCTGCAAGCACTCATTCGGTATGGACTCTCCTCCACCGGGTTTCGAGACCCTATCAAAAGACATTGTCTCCACCACAGGAGGGCTCCCACTGACACTCAAGGTTGTCGGCTCGTCCCTATTCAGAGAAGACGTTGGCATCTGGAAAGACAAATTGGCAAAGTTGAAAGAAATACCCGAAACGGAGGTAGTGGAAAGCTTAAAGATAAGCTACGACACGTTGGCGCATGAAGCAAAACAAATATTTCTAGACATCGCTTGTTTCTTTATCGGAGAAGACAAAGAAAATGCTTCTTACATGTGGAGCGATTGCAACTTTTATCCCATCACCAACATCAACATTCTTATTCAAAGGTCGATGATCAAGATAGGAAATCTTAACGAGTTTCAAATGCATGATCAACTCAGAGACACGGGCAGAGCAATTGTCCGGGAAGAAGATATAGACCATCCTTGGTTGCGAAGTCGGATCTGGTCAAGAGATGTAGCTACAGATTTATTACTTAACAAGAAGGTAACGTCCACTTAATTTAGAATCAATGCCAATAAACATATACAAGCCTTCTAGTGACGATTATTGGCTTGTTTTTTTGTTTTTAACAGGGAACAGGCAAAGTTAAAGCCATTAGAGTGAACTCTATTCTGGGTCTTGAAAGTGAACACTTCTCAAATTTGTCAGAGTTGAGATACTTTGATGGACAAGCTACGTCGCTAAGAGGAGATTTTAGTGGCCTTCTTCCAAATTTGAGATGGCTTCAATTGCAACACCATGAAGAAAGTCCGAATGGCCATCTCACCAATTTTCATATGAAAAATTTGGTGATTTTTCATTTTTCCTTCAGCAAACTAGTTGGAGACGACTGGGGAGGTTGGAGCCATATCAAGGTCTGACTATCGCCTAGCAAAACTAGTAACCGTAATGATTCACCGCATTTATAAATTATAATGACGCGAACTGTTAGAATAGAACGCATCGACAAATTTCGTACTATCTCTACTATGTTCGATGTTGTAGCGACTTGTATTTGTCAAGAAACATGAATGTAGCTAATGTAGTTAATGTTTTTCTTCTTTTGTGTGGTGTGAATGCAGATGGCAAAGAAGTTGAAAGTTCTGGATCTTTCCGACCCGAATCCTTATCTGACGAAACTACCTGAATTCCCAGAATCCGGGAGCCTAGAGATGTTGAACATTAGCAATTTCGCGTACCTGTTTCTCTTGAGTTCTTATGTGGAGCTGGATACGAGGAATTTGCTGAACCTGAAAGTGTTGAACCTGAACAACTGTAAACTGAGGAAGATTAAAGGGGGAACCCTGGGGATGATGAAGGGGCTTCGAGAGCTCGATCTCACTAACATCAAGTTCATAGAGGAAGGGAGCGAATGGCTGGCTGATATTGGGGAACTGCCATTGCTCGAAATCCTGAGAGCTGAAGAAGCGTCGTTTGATGAGTATCGTCAGTTTGAAGTGCTGGCAGGGATCAAGCTCCCTACAAGTTTGAAGGTGCTGACCACTTCATCCGCGCTGGCCAACCTCGTCGAGCTGCTACAGTTGCGAGAACTCAGGATCATCCAGTGCAGGACGAGGGTGGTGATCCCGGAGACCAGCACATTGTGGTGGAAGTCGTCCAAGTTGGAGTCTTTGACACTCTTTTACTCCCCGAACCTTATCATGGCCCCTAATGCTACCCTGCTTCCGTCGTCTCTGACCATGCTCTCGATCAACTTTACAACTTTGGAGTGGCTCCCGAACTTGGAGAATCTGGAGAACCTGATCGAATTAATACTCAAGAGCTGTTCAGAACTGAGAGAGATCCAAGGGCTTGGAAGGTTGAAACGGTTGCAGTCGCTCACAATTGATTCTGCAAGTCGTTTGACTTGTCTGGACGGGCTTGGGGATCTCATGTCTGGTTCTAACTGCAAGCTGGCCAAGTTAACGATGCTGGACTGCCCTCTGCTAACTACTGCACTAGATGATGACTGCCGAAGGGCACTAGACGTCGTTCACTCTTTCCAAGAAATGCACATCGATGGATGTCCACGGTTGGATGGTGGCTCCATACCCCGACTGTCAAAACTGCCGAGGCTTAAGATCTTGCGAATTGGGGGTATATCGAGGGTCGATGGAAATCACGATGGATCAGCACTGCTGGAGGGGCTTGGGGAACTCAACGAATTGGTTGAGCTGGAGTTGGTTAGGTTGCCAACTGTAGAGAGGCTACCATCCTTGTCGAAGCTGAGGCAGTTGAGGCGCTTGGTTTTGTGGGACATTCCAAATCTGCGGGAGGTTGAGGGGCTTGATGGCTTGAAGTCACTGAAGAGGCTAGTTCTAGCCCAATGCAAGTCGCTGGAGAGATTCCCTGCAGCAAGTCTTCCTTCTACAGTGGTAAGGATGATATTGGACCTTCGAGGATGCACCAACTTCACCTCCGATCTCTCCTCCTTAGCTGTCAGCGGGAGCAATGTGACCATCCGGTGGCCACATGAACCAATCACTCGGTACCCAACCCTCGACCTGTGCAAAGGTTTTTCGACAACGAGTCAGACTGACTGAGTTCGGTTAGCACCCCCACCCACTTGGTGGACTATTTAATAAGTCAAGATACTGATTCATCAAGAAACAATGGTACTCAAGTAGGAACTACCAAACCTTTACTTATTCTTGTATTATATACTGTCTCTTGTAGCTTGCTTATTATCCGGTGCAGACACTGCATGGGCACACATCTGTAAAGTATGCAATGGACTGGTTATGCTACATATATGTGCCTGGTTTCTTCTGAGAGGAACCATTGCATGTATTTTACTTTGTACTAGGAATACCAGCTGAGTTACTACTTCATTGAGGTCGAAGGTAACCATTGTCATCGACTCACTCGTGGTAACGTAGCAGGTGATCACATAATCTGACCAATACCACTCACAAGTGAGATTCTCCACAATGACAATCGAACCAGATATCGCCCCAATGCATTAGCATGGTATCAAGTCATATAGTAGCAAGACCAAGACCAACTCACGCGGTGCAACAAATAGGTTCCACAGTGGTGCAGCCTAACTATAAGAGCCTACATCTGCATACTTGCAATAATACGATGATCCAATATTCTGCAAGGCAAAACCAACAAAAAGAAAAACAATCACAAACAATGATGCGAAATAATGAATCAAGAACAGGAATCCTAGCATTATAATGGGTAAGAAGCTGAATAGATTATGTGTTCCATTGTAATCTCAAAGAATATAAAGGTGTCATTATGGGACTAAACCTCCACCACTAACAGAGAGGCTAGCATCGACATGGGGAATAAAGTAATAATAATCCCTTGAACTCAGGAAGAGCTGCGACCATAAATTCAATAAACAGAGGGCAGATGCATCATGGAAACCTGTTAAAATAAAATGAAGAGGAAAACTTCGAAGAACAATAATTTGATTTCCTGATGCAGGGTCAAGGAGACAGCCATTTTTGTTGTGTATCTGACAGCTATCAGTGTAGAGATCATTTAGGAAAGAAGTTCTTTCTTCATCGCGATTGTCGATTACCTGGAATCATAGTGCAGCAGTGCAGAATATGGTTGTAACTTGTAACAGCCAAAGAGAAGGCCAAAAGCAATTTTACTACTTCAGCAGTCCCAAATTTCAGTAGGATCATGATTTTCTAAAGCTATATAGAATGATATATGCTTTCATCTTCTTTTCCTTTGTTTCCCCCACAATCAAAACATTCTCTACATGGAGACTGAGTTCTGTAACTATTCTGAATTTTACTGGATGGTACTTTGAGATCTTCCACAAGGATTTGACGAAGCTTCTTGTTCTCTTCCAGTAGCTCTTCAATGATCTGCTGGTGCTTCGGCACCTGAATGCCCATAGCGAAGTTCATTTCTTAGCGGCCAAATGAAGTTAACATGATGACTCAAGGTGACGAAATAACCAGGTAGAGAAGTGGGTGATTAACTCGAAAGACTTACCATTTGAAGCATGTTGTTTACCGACTGAAAACTGCCAGCCTGGATATGTTGGACAAAGACTCAGCGACACATTCATAGCCCATCAAAGAAGGTCGATGCAATGGATCACACATACCACTTGCTTCAGGGCAGGGTCATCTTCTCTAAGAAATGGCTTCTGCTGTTCTGCAGAAAGCTGCTGAGAACTTTACAGTTCTACTAAAGGATGAATTGGCTAGATCCATTTCTGATGTTTGAGTTGTATAAGGAGAGTGCCTGTTGACCTTTCCACTTCCGGGAATACCTTGAGGCGAGAAGTCTGGGAAGTTCCCTCCAAGCTGAGTGATAGCAGTTGAAGGACTGTTGCTTGTTGGTCCACTTGCCACAATGATACCACCTGGCAACGATATTGGGAGGCCGCCTTGAATAGCTGACATATTCGGTACCTCTCCAAGTTTCATCATAACTATTGTCATTGCTTCCTAGGAAGTCCAAAATCGAATTTCAATTAGAGAAATGGTAAAGAAATGAAAGTCCCTACTCCCTAGTAAGTGGACAAACAATACTTTGTAGTATACCAGAAAGCAAGCTTGAACTTTCTGCAACACCCCTGGTTTCACAGCAATGCCTGCCCAGTAAAGGTTAAGTTTTCAGCGCATTATAACTCAGAATCGCCCTTCGGTTGTTCAACAGTCAACTAAGCAGATAATGCAGTACGAACGCAGAGCCACCAGATATGTCCAACATACTCCATACATAGAACAGGACCTACCAACTCCGAATCCGTGGCCAAATCCAATTCCACAACCAACGCCAACCTCAATATTCATAGCTCCCACCTTCCTTAGCTGGAAAATAAGAAAGGCGACTCTAAAGATAAATCTGAATTGGACTAGTTTGAAATGACAAAAAGGCAGATAAAATGGAATCGATTCATTCTACTTACCGCATCATTTACATGTCTGCTAACACCAGAGAAAGCATCAGTGGCTCCTCTGGTCGCACTGAGGAATTGATTCACCATTGGCAGTGCACCCAAGAGTGTGGATCACACCAACATTTTCAGGTCACTAACTACACAAAGTAGGGCAACAAATCAGTGCACTGGAAGGAAATCTCAGAAAACAAGTCACGGAAATTCTAAGACACGGAAGTCGAATAAAAACCAAATAGACAAATTACTGTGTTCGGTTATCATTAAAGGACAATTCCGAGCCTCGAAACAAGGCTTCATCCGCTGAGTGTCATAAACCCCACATACGAAAGGACCTTACAACTAGGGCATCAAATCCTCCTTCAACATTGGATTAATAACTCCAACCTGCAATCCATTCAATGCTAGCAGTGAGACAATCTACACATAGTTGCAACTTAACATGTCCAGAGAAATAAGTCGGACGAGCGTAAGTAAAAACGATCCATTACAAGGCGTCCCAGGATAAAGTTTTTGATGGTTTCCACCATTTTTAACTTGAAGAAGCTTCCAACGTTCATCTCAACTTCCCAGTTATAGAGACAGCACAATATTGGAATAAAGGAAAGAAGAAATGGGGAAGTACCGAGATGAATGGGGCGACCATGGCCAATACCAATGCCAAACCCACGGAATACTTGACCCACTTTGAAAGTAAAGGGATTCTCCCATTGAATCCCTTCTCCAAAGGGCTTTGTCTCGTTGCTGCTGACCGCCATTTACTTCCACCTTCCTCTTTCCACAAACCCTTTCCTTTTTAACTTTCCCGCTTAACTACCTCTCTCTCTGTCTCTCACTTGTAGAAAGGAATTTTATCGATGAAAGCTCTGTAAAACCCTGAGCTGGGTTCGTAGTCGAAGCGTAAAACCTCGGCCTCTCCAGTCTCCAGTCTCCACTATAAATCTATAATCTCTAGTTTCCCCTGAGAACAAAGGATTGGCGGTTGAGACAGGGAGAGGGATCGGTGGGAGGGAATCTCGCACTACTTTTTAACACATCGATTTTTTTTTTTCGTTGAATAACACATCGATTTGTTCGAGATGGAGAGGAGATTAAAAAAAGAATATGGACACTACAGAATAACTTACAATCTTGAAATAAAAAAAAGTGTGATTAAAATAAGTGTTCAAATATCCAACCCAATCTAATCAATGAAATTTATTAGACATAGATATTTTAGATAATGTATATTATTTGGACATTCTCTTTAGGGGTGTACATGGGTCGGGTGATTCGGGTTTAACCATTTTAATCACCCGACCCATGCACTACGGTTTGGGAATTATCAAACCCAAACCCACCCAAAAAATTTTAAACCCTACGGTTTGGTTCTAATTGGGTTGGGTCGGGTTGGCGATATTTTTAAGTAAAAATCCAACCCAACATAAAATTTATAATTATTATACATCATAAAAAATATTTTAGAACTAATTAAAATTTCAAACGAATAAACCGAAGTGAAAGGTATCAAAATTCACAAATGTTGTTTGAATTTTAATAAAATGTGATTTACTTCAATATATGTCTAGTTTTTTTCACGATATTTGTTGAAATAGGCTAAAAAGGTTATAAACAAACGCATCCATAATATGTTATTCTATTAAAATTGTACACAAGAAAAAGGATTACGTGAATCATAACTATATTCAATTTATGTCTAAACTTTAAGTCGAAGAATGCATTAGATTAGGGAGACCATGATAGAAAAACATGACGAAATATCTTAATTTTCTCTGCTATATACGACATAAATATTTTTTAGATACGAACTCATACTAATGGTTGGAACACGGGTTGGGTCGGGTTCTACGAGTTGTGTAATCCAAAATCCAAACCCAACCCAAAAGAGGCGGGTTGTACAAAAGAAAACCCTCACCCAACCCAAAACCTTCGTTTTAGCGATAAATACGGGTGGGTTGGGTCGGGTTGGACGGGTGGGTCGGTTTGCGGGTGTGTTTGTTCACCCCTAATTCTCTTATAGAACAAATAAATATATTTGTGTTCGATGGGTTTTCTCTAGTTCTCATACAAAAAGTTGTCCAATGCCTGTGAGGCTGTGACACTTATTTACTTCTATCACTATAAATCTCTACTTGAAAAAAGTAAACAATCATTATCGCTACTAAAAACATTTGAACATTTCAAATTTGACAATAATTATTAATCACAGACTTAATACAATGAGTTGACTATACAAATTTGATACAATTAAAGTTCACTGAACAATGGTAGAATCTAATTATAGAAACAAGTGGTGGACTTTATTCCAAATGTGAAATCTTTGTGGATGCAAATTTTTTTTTAAAAAAAAAATCCAACTAAAGAAAGTAAAATATCAAATTAATACACAAGTTTTCCATCTCAACCGATATTGCCCCCTTAAACAAAAGAATCAAGATACAAAATGGGAATAATTGCACAAAACACATACTAGTAATTATGACCTAATCGTAATTAAGTACCACTACCACGTAATACGTGAGCTCAAACACTCCCTTCCCAGCCTGCCTTCTTTTCCTTCTTCCGGGTCGGGTCTAAACTACGATGTCGTTCATTCGCTTCCCCTTGGCGGGGACGGCAACCACCACGATCACATCGCCGCCGCCGACACCCCCACAATCGCGAATCGGCATCACCAACACGTCGTCGTTTAGCCAGCTCACCCAACACGCGACGCCAGCGGGCTTATTCCCAGCGTAAAATGACACCCCCTCGATCCCCAAATCCTCCCACGTCGCATTCCCGGCAGTAATTCCACCTCCTCCCGCCGGCGGCTTCTTCCCCTTCAAGACCGCCGGCGATTCCTTCAGATCCACCACGCGGAAGCTCGAGATCATTTTCCCCTCCGAGCCAAACCTGCGCTGTGCCTCTTCCACGCAGAGCTCCGCAAGTTGGGCCTCTAGGCCCAACTGGTTATTAGGCCGCGTGATTTTCAGAATTAGAGTATGGGCCTGGCCCCTGGTCGGGGTCGAGCTGAATGCTTCGAGCGTGAACGACCCATTGGGCTTCAGGTTCGGTAGATAGAAGATGGGGAGGTTGGGTCCGGCGGCGGAGGTGGAGATCATTCCCTTCTGGATTTCCCCCCATTTGTGGAGGAAGTTGCCGGCGATGAGGAGGTCGGCAACGAGCAGGCTGCAGCTGATCCCGACGGAGTATCCGCCGCACTTGAAATTCGTCACCTGCGATCAAGATTTGGTCGGCATTAGGCAAGAGAGCTGTTCACAGAGCCCACGTTGTTGATCTGTCATTCCTAAATTTTTGGGCGCAATCCGTGAGGCCGACCCAAACCCGACTCGTGACACCCACTCGTTATTTATGATGATGAAGAGTTATATGGGTGTTTTTTTTTTTTTTTTTGAAAGGTGAAGATTTCTATGTTTGTTCCTCTTCTATCATGAATCGTGATTTCTCTCTCAATACTTGTCCTGTCCTAATACGTCAATCATATTGTAATCGGATTCATCTCAACCTGAATCGAATTTCATTAAACTTAAATATCTTAAAAGTTATTCTTCTGTTTTCTCCTATATAGACATCTGCCATGTATAGACTAAAGTGAAATGACAAACGAATTGTATACCACGAGAGAAACCCAACACCTAAAAGTTGTCCTGTTGTCTTGAGAAACTAGATGAGAAACCATTTAATCAGTAAGCTAAGTATTTCCGGTCATCACTGTTTCGGAGTTACAAATTCATGTTAATGGTATAAATTCAGTTTGTATCATAAAAAAAAATCTGTATAAGTTTAGTTTGTATCATAACATAAAGGTACGAAGCCAGTTTGTATTATAAAGAAATTTGTAATAAAATATATAGGTACAAATTAAATTTATATCATAACGTTAAAAGTACAAGTTCAGTTTGTACCCCAAATGAATTTGTACAAAAAATATAGGCACAACTGAATTTGTACTATGACGTTAAAGGTACAAATTCAATTTGTACCATAACGTTAAAAGTACTGATAATAAATTATTAAAAATTCCTCATATATCATTCATGTCTCTATGAAAATAAAGTTACAGTTTTATATAAATATCCATTTTTGTCAACACAATTCGTATTCTTTCGAAATTTTGAAGTTAACATTTCCGGCAAAGAAATGCAAAAATAGGCTCAATTATCACATAGAAAATATGTCTTATCCAAATAAATAGAGTATTTTTTTACTAAGGAATAAATAGATTATTTATTGAAGTATCTCATACTATAATATGTTGTTGGATACAATTTCATATATACCTGGCGGCTGGCACTAATGCACGTATTCTATCCTTTTATTGTCTTCCTTCTTAAATAGCCAAATTTTAATATAAAATGTAATAATTAGACCTCCTCACTATTAAAATGTAAACTAATGAACATCAATACCACATAAAAAATATCCAATAATTAATCCCAAAATTATTAATTATTACCTGAACGTAGAGCAAGGGAGAGAACTCAGGACTCTGCTCATCAATCTCCTTCCAGAAAACCAGCTCCGCCTCCGCCGCCGCCCTGACCTCCCCCGCCGTCGACATAAACTCCTTCAACCCCACCGCCACCGTCGCCTCCAGCAGCCGGGCTCCGCTATCGTTTGACACAATCTCCATTTCGTCCCCCGTTTTCCTGAGCCGCCCTCCGAGCAGCGGCTGCTGGTTCAGCACCCGGGCCAGCGATTCCTTCATCCACCCGGCCGCAACCCAACCGGAATCCTCACGAACCGACCGGTTGGAGTAGAACAGAACCAGATTGAAACATCCCTTCGTCAGCCCGGCCGCCGCCGGGGACGCATCGGACACGTGGCGGGTCGTCCTAGGCTCTGTTATTCTCGAGGGAGGTACCGTCTGGATTCCTTCCAGCTGCGGTTTTGGGATGATGGTGGTTGTCTTGGTCGCCATTTGTGTTATGTTTTTTCCTTTGCTTTTTTGTTGTCTGTTTTTGTTGGGTTTTGGATGGGTTTTGCGTCTTTGGGGATATACATAAGTTATATTTTATTAATATATATAGAGGAAAGCAGACTTGGTAGGTTGGCTCCACGTAGAGGCAATCTATTGGTAATCACTAACTGAGTAGGGGTGTCTGATCGGGTCGGGTTTGGTTACCCAAACTGAAATCCGATGCACCTGAAAAATCAAAATCGTTATCTTTTGAAAATCAAAAACTCGAAATCGAAACCCGAAACAAAATAAAAAACCCCATAATGCATCTAACCAGTTGGGTTTCAGTTAAAATTGAAAATCAAACCTGGACATAGTCCATATATATTTGTGCCTAGATCAATAGGGGAATTCACAATGCCATTAACATCAATATTGGTGTAGGTTAACAATCGTTGTTGAGAAATCAGAATACGGTGGAAATTGTTATGTGTCATTACTGAAACCACATAGGGTTTATATAGAGTATAGAGATGGACTTCTACAATAACCCTAATACTAATACGGAAATTGCTTAACTTCTACGACTCTGATAAGAAATATAACTCTGACCAATTAGATAACGGTACTCGTAGTATAATATAATACTACTCGTACTACCCAATACCCATACTCTAATGACTAATACCCTCCCCAAATTGATGGTACTAACTTACCGACAATTTGAAAATTAAAACAAAAAACAACACAACGAAAAAAAAACTATAACTATGACACGAATAACTGCTACTAATCTCAAACTTCACGCCAATGTCGAAGAAAACCATGCCCCACCAAAACGTTGATGGTGATGATCACTGGATGCAATGAGATCTCTTGCCAAAACTGCCTTGTCGTTCCAAACACCTGTCCCCCAAACAAGCTCCAAAAACTGACTATCGTGAAAACAAACCAAAGATACCTCGAAAAACATCTTCGAACCAAGAAAACCAAATCACAGAACCATGTATACTCCGAACAGTAACACGGCAAGGATTATATAGAGTACAGTGGCGAACTTCTACAACAAC